CTAAAATTATTGAGAAGTTTATTAAACAACGCATCAAAATAATAATAACGATATAACGCCGTTTATTGCTATGGTAATTGTTTAAGCCACGAAGTTGATCTTCTACAACCACGGATTTCATTGGAAGGCTGTGTTTATAATATTATTAAAGAAAGTAACATGTTCATTAAAGGTGTTATTAAAAAAATTAACACGGGCAAAATATCTTTCTGAAACATTACACGTGGATTGGAAATTGGATTATGTGGATTAAAGTCGTGATTCATCATAAAAGTTATCACGACATATGTTTGCAATGCAGCTACAGATTATTTTCTTCTCATTTTGACCTCTATATGGCCTGCAGTTCGACGGTTAAGAAACACACAGATGCGTTTAATTCCACTAAATGTTTGATATCTGTTTCATATTTCTTTTTTTTTTTTTTTTTTTTGTAACGCAACTGCGACACATTGCGCAAGTCTGATCAGACCTTGCAGACTGCGGAGACGCGCTCATTTGCAGGGTCCAGGTGTCCGCGAAGGTAACGAACGCTCTCTCCCCTTATCCCATCTGCTGATGGCTGGACTGGGGAATTTTTCTCACGGCCTTCTCAGTTATGCGTCGGAGCACCTGAAATGCCTCGAGGGGTTGCCATAATAAAAAAGAAGTGGCAAGCACAGAAGCGTTTCTTAATTCTCGCTCGCTCAATTTGGCAGCAACATTCTCAATTTGGCAACAACATAAATCAGCCAAGAAGAGCAAGATAAAAAGAATTAGAAAATTGCAATCTGTTCGTTCGTTCACTAGATGTTAAACGTAAATATAGTTAAATAAATTTAGCTTTTATATGACACTTTTATCCTCTCCAGTACTGTCTTTAAACTTAGTACAGTACTTTCCTTTAAAAAATAGAACTGATAGAAAATAATTCTTTCACCCTTCTTTTCTTCTTTTTTTAAATTTCTGAGTTATTTAATTAGTAATTAAAATTAATGTATTTTAATTAAAAGCTAAACTAAAGCCATCATTCTTAGCTATTTTAGTTTATCTATCTTTAGTTGTTAACCACGGAGGTAAATTATTTGTGTCACCTTAGTTATAAATAAAATAATAATTATAAAATGCGAATTTTAAAATCCCCCTCATAAACCAACGGATTTTTATTATGTAAATTAGTTGATTGCTTTTTGTATTTTATAAATTTTCGTTTCAATTTTGGAAGAAAGGATTTCTTAGATAAATTTACTTTTTTTTTTTTTTTCAAGAATAATAAAACTTTTCTTGAAGTTATTTTTTTAAAAAGTAAGTTTTTCAGGTCCTAATGAAAAACAAGGGTGTTAACTACTGCTTGTAAAAACGGACATTACTTATCATCACATGGAAAGGTGCAAAATATCTTAAATAGCGAACTTTTTATCATTCAAAGTTTTTACACTTTTATTTTAAAATAAAATCAACGGAATCATACTCATTACTCTAAATATTTAGATATCACGAAGATTTTTCCTTTTTCCAGCGATTATATGGCGCCGAAAATTTTCATTTGCGATAAAGATATTTAGATTCTACGGTTAAGTATAGACTATGAAAAATCACTGGGAAAGATAACTTATTATGTCATATGTTTTTCAGTATTTATTTCAGCTAAATATGCAAGTTAATTTTCTTCAAAATAAGAGAACATTTCATTTATTTCAGAAAAAATCTTTTAAATAACAATCTAATACTGCAGAATGAATTAACATATAGCGCCATTTTTTTCTCTACAGTGCGTTATTCACTCATACACCCAAACATGGTTATAAAAATTTATAAATAAATTTAAAAGCATATATTTTCGCCCAAATATTGTACTAAAGCTTAATTTTTTTATATAATATAAGTTCTAGGTACATTTTTTTCACCAACATATGGGAAGAAAAGAACATAATTCGACAAACGTTTGCCTACGTTATTTTTCAATAGAAAAAGATGATGATATATCATCCAGAACTTATTTTAACATATTTATAATCAGATAAGGATACTCTTAAACCATAGTGAAATAAATTGCTTTGTAGATATGTAAGTGGATATGACAGAGCAACAGAAGGTAAGCTGCCTTGGACGGGTTACCTTAGTGAAAGATCTTGTAAGCGAAGGGAGTTTCTGTTTACATTAATTCGTTGGAAAAAAACCCATAAAATACCACCTAGACTCACAAGAAATTAAAACTTTAATTTGACGTCGTTAGAACACTGGCAAGCTTTCCTTTTCGAGGCTCATTTCCACTTTTTTCTTTCCCATCAAGATGTTTATGTCAATTGCAGACCTTGGCTGTAAAGGATTAAGCCCTCACATTATGATTGATAGATATCTGTTTGCAATAGGATCGTAAGGAAATGAAAATATCCAGAGAACTGCGAGCCTATCATTCCCATAGCCGACAAAAGCTACTTTTTACTAAACAAAAGTCCCCTTCCTTTTTTTTAAAGTTTTTAACAATGTCTGTCTATATATTCATCTTTTTTTTTTTTTTTTTTTTTTTTTACTTGCTGAAAAATATGTTGGCTTCTATTATTATTATTATTTATTGGGAAACTTTAAACAGATCTTTATTGAATTTAAATACAAATAAATAAACAAAAATAAAATCGAGAAAAAAGGACCTAGGAAAATATCGCCAAAAGTGGGAAATATGTAGCCAAATGGAAGCATTTCACAAGTGGTAGTTCACGTTATGTGTATGCATGGTATGTACACCTGGCGCAAAATTGGGGGAACATTTACAGTAGGAAAAGTAAGGAACGAGCTGTACAGTGGAAAAAAAATGAAGGGGACCCTGACGCCTTCATCAGTTCCTTTCATACCCCTCTTTCCCCCCGATAAAAATTTTTTTATTCTTTTTTTACGCGGTAGGTAAGCTTGGAGCGGCAGTATATACAGGACTTCGTCTATTCTTCAGCAATGAACAGATTGAAGAGAGTTTAAAAAAGATCAGTCCGCTTTGAGTATAGTTAACACCTGCTTCAGGAATTCTTTCGCCCACATCTGATTCTTTGCCACTCTTCGACGGTAAGCCGAGAAGCGAACAGATGAGGATGATTTGGGGAAGGGGGCCGGGAGAACTTTTGTAAGAGCGAGAAAGTCATTTAAAAAACGGTTTCCAGGTATGCGGAGTGAATGAAAAAGAAACTGTGTTAATGCACAATAGAGATAAACAGATTTTTAAAACGTTAAAAAAAGGAAAGCTAGAAAATTTTTTTAAGAAAGAGGGTGAAAATTACTGCCTCACCTGCCGACATACGTGGGCAGGTGATTTATGCATCTCATTTCGTTACGTTTCAGCAGCAAATGGTAGGGTTCTTGCAGAATGGTATTAAGCCGACACAGCTTTTAATTTTGGCAAAACGGATATGACCCGGATGCAGTAAAATTAAACTCTACGTTTTTGGGAGGGAGGAAGGAGAATTATTAATACTTTTTCACATAATCTGAAAGTCTGTTATAAAGGAACAAAAGCGGACTACAGTTTATGACCTTGCATAAGAGATGAAGAAGTCAAGAACTGCAGCATCAAACGTTGTTAAAAACAGCTTCCTGTAACATCCGAAGATTTCCCAGCCCTCATCCCCTACCACCAAACCACACGAGTGGACTTTCGGTTTGCCATAAATTTAGGGTGCCCCCAGCCGCAAATACACTACACATTTACAAATATCCATGCATTCTCAGGAATTCCCAATTAGGCCCTTCAGTACTGTAGTCACAGTCACTCAGCACTACCCAGTTTGGACGGCATGCAAATAGTGATTGCCATTAAATAAGCAGGGCGAAAGTACCACTGTACCTTAATTTATTGTAATGACTTGCTACATAGGAACAATCTTGCATTTCAAACAGCTTAATATAAATTCAAAAGAAAATACAAAATCTTTTTAATACAGGAAAGGAGAATGCGAGCTAACGATTTCTTGGCAGCAAGCAATTAATAGACTTAAAATTCTCTGATGATCAAGTTACCATTAAGAAAATGGCAGCGCTATAGAATTCCCGGAAAGACCTGCTAACCTCAATAAAAATGTATGTATATGTAATCAACGTGAATGCAAATCTGTTGGGGGAGGGGGGGACTATTAAATGTTAGATTCACTCTGCCTTAGAAGTAACGTAATTGGAGGTAATATAAGTCAATCCCTCTGTATAGTTAATAACTTATGAACAATGACAAATAGTGACATGTCAGCTCTTCATACTAACTGAATTCTTAAACAAAGAGTTTCCTACGTTTAAGATACGTGCGTGCAAAAGTTTTGTGTATTATATTTGTGTATATATTACACAAATGTATTAAATATTTACACAAAAAATTATATGTAACTCACTTATTAAGAATTTAAAATTACAGTAAAGACAAGCTAATATTTTAAAAAATAGATTCTTCATTAACAGTATAAAGAACGTGGAGGAAAAACGGAAGACCATTTTTGCAACAACTGATTAAAGCCAAATATAATTCTATTTATTTGGTAAATTAGACGAAAGTGAATTTGTCATTGTAATTAACAATAAAGAAGCATTCATTTTATTTGCATAATTAAAAACATGGAGTAACCGTGTAGCTGAACTAAAAAATTTTCTTATCAAACAGTAATTTTTAATTTTTCACTGCATTAGAAGGAAAGAATCTGTAGTTCATTTTTCTTTTTTAATTTCACTCATTTTTTAATTAATACAAAATTAAATGAACTCTTGACCAGAGTTTTATAACACCAGTCCCCAATTTATTATGTATCCGGTTGATACGTTTTATATATTATCAGAATATTAAAGCAATTGAATGCGCACAACGAAGTAACTCAGATTGCTTAACTAATTATGTTCTTAAACATAATGCATCATTCCACGCGTAGCATTCCATATTAAAATTCCATTTCTCATGTAACTAGGCAGCTCTAAAAATACTGGTTCGAATTAAATTGCTTTATTCCAGTTAAAAATAGTCTTCCGATGAAAAATTGCCACTGTAAGATTCTTACCTCTTAAACAGCTGGGAAGACCTTTAGTTCTTAACCTCGTCAGCAGAGCGCCATGTAAGTAGTCTATGTATCGGATCGCTTCTTCTATAACAGTTACCTGTAAAAAACAGAAAATAACTATTACTTAACGCATTCAAAAAAGTACGTTACTTAATTAATAAGTTAAATCGCACATGCTGCCTGTCTAGCAAGATGAATGCTTCCAGCACGAGTTATTGAAAAAGAGTGGCCGAGTCATTATTTCTGCGAAATACTGATAATTCAGCCCACTTCCACTTCCCATTAATTGAAATAACTTACATGTCACTTTACAAGGTATTTTCTTCCGCCTTTTCGGCATACTTTCATGATGTTTTTGAAAGCATACTCGACGCGTATTCGAGAGGTCCAGGGTTCGAGTCCCGGCAAGGTAGTGAATATTTTTCACGTCTCCTGCTTCCAAAAAACCTAATGACTTTACAAGCGGCGCCCGAACTATTGAAAAAAGTGTTGTACGATAATTCGTCACTACCAGGACTTGGCGATTGGGTCCCCTAATCCCTAGTCGCCCTTTAAAAGAGGAAGTATATGAGTTATTTACTTAATGACTACTCCAAAAATTTAATAGATATTCCAAACGTTTAGACGCAAAGATACCTTTCCTTGACAAATAACTGGACATTTGTGGCACATTAGAAGTACATTGATTGTTATTTTCTTAACGGACAGTTTGTAGAACTTGGTGGTGATTATGCGGAACAACAATTGGATTTTCACTGTGTTCCTTGAATTAAATGTAGGTAGACATAATAACTAAGGATATTAGGTTATTAACGAATAAGCATTTACAAATTTAAGGCCGGCGTCTGGCCCCGCATGTGCTACCACTCAAAGGGAACACTATGTATTCTCAGCATATGTGTGGCACTTCGCACTGCATCTGCAGTACACATTCAAGCTTTTGTTGGAACCACAGTGACATAGGAAACTGTAGCAAATCCATTACTTGCGTGATAACTCCGAGCTAGACGCTCTGTAGCGGTCATACCACTAACTCCAAGTCATCACCATTTGTGACTTCGGTGATGTGAAAGGGCCTGAGTGATGAGTAGTTGTGTTCTCAGATGACGGCCGTTTCTGTCTTGGTGCCAGTGATGGCCGCATGGCTATAAGGAAGCCAAATGAGCTCTTGGAACCAAACTGTCTGCGGCGTAGACACATTACACATCAGCAGTTGTGCTCTGGGAAGCAATTTCCTGTCACAGAAGGAGTAATCTCATCGCTGTCCCACACACCATAATAGTAAATCTGTACGTCAGACTGGTGATCGCACCGGTTGTGACTGGTGATCGCACCGTATCGCACCATTCTTGAGCAATATTCTAGGAGATATTTTCCAACAGGATAACGCTCGTCCATATACCGCTATCACTCAATGTGCTCTACAGAGCACCTACATGTTCCCTTAGCCTGCGAGATCTCCCAATGTTTTCCCCAGGCAGTACGTATGGAACATGACAGATCGACAAATCCATTGTCATCCACAATCCGTAACGGAGCGTGGGTGATATGACTGACCAAGTGCAACTGGAAATCTTCCATGCCGAAAAACGATGCATGCCTCTTATAGGACACAATACGCGTTTGCATGTAACATCATGTCCACTCCAGAGGCTGTGCGACCAATTCACATTTGAAACGGGCCTTCTCGCGCATAGAGGCCCACCAGCGGCTGAGCGGTGAAGTCGCTGAACACTGGTAGTTCGGTTCGAGGTTCGAATCCCGCGAACGGGCTGGCTGCATGGGGTTTTCGTGGTTTTCCCCATGTGTAACGTGTATACGAGCCAGTTTCCCTTAGAAAGTCCTCCACGAAGGCATCCCTCCACTTAGGCAGATAGCCCTCGAGGCTTTGCCGTAATTAAATAACCTAACCTAACCTAACCTTCTCGCGCATACCTTAACTGGGACGTTGAAGCATTACTCGGTGCTGGGATTTTACTTTCCATCAGCATATTTACGTTACACACGGAGACAAGCACAAATTTCCCTGCAGCCAGCCCGTTCAGGATGCTTGAACTCGAGTCAAACTACCAGCTATCTGCCTCAGAAATGATGCCTTGATAGAAAACTGCATGATGGCTGATTGTTTAATTGATTTTGGCAAAGTAAAAAAGAACTTGAGAGATGCCTTTATGAAAGACGTTAAGTAAATCTTATTTGTATTCACTTTGCACATGAAGTAACTCATAAGAACCTCATATGAACTATCTTCCACCACTGCTTAAATCTAAAAGAAGTGTAGAAATTTCACCCACTCAGCAATCACCACTCCCTCCTGAGGGAAACTAGCTACTTTTCACGTTACACACAAGGGGAAAGCAAGAAAATATCATGCAGCCATTTTATTTAGCCGTAGGGAATTTGCCTGTGATATACGCATTCTCAAAATTTCGACATCTAAGTCGCTCAGCTAATAATAGGCCCAACTCCGAAAGTAGTTTTATTTTGATACAAGTTTTAAAAATGAGCTGTAGTTTTAGCAGTTAAATAAAAGTAAACAGCAAAGCGTGAGTAAAAATTCTTTCGTATCCGTTAAATCCAAAATTTAAACAAATTCCGTTATCGTGAGACGAATAATTTTTAAATGCATAGTGTACATTTAATTAGTCTCTAGAAAACTTCAAAGGAATTGTTTATAGTTATAAATACCTCTGTTACGACTACATTTTTAAGAGCCAAATTTAATGCGCAAAGGCGATAGATGTATGAAGTCGCAATTAAAATAACATCAGTTCCTAATCACACTATCATAAATTAACTTTTTTAACTTTAGATACAAAGTAACAAAGCTAATTTCATGCAGGTGCCTTTTTTATCATAACTATTACCTTGTACATTTTCGAGGCAGATGGCGGCGCTAGAAAAGCAGTTATCGCAATTAGCAAACAAGTAAAGAAGACCGGAACTTGTTATTGCTTTTAATACTTCCGATGGTCAATTCGGCAACGCTATTAACATAAATTCTAACTACAATTAAAGACACATTTCTAGGCATTTATTTTCTGTAATGACTTACTCTCGGTGATGACAGGTTATTTAGTACAGAACAAAATTATTTATCCTCGCTAAAATTATTTATCGTTCCAATCTTCCAACGATACGACGTCCATTTTTCACAGATAGAACAAAAAATATTATCTAAGATTTATAGCAGTAGCAAACGCATGAAATCAGAAATTAAGCCCTTCTACAAGAATTTTAGCAGTTAACGGAAACTCTCTGATTTCAGATTATCAACTATTATATCTTACGTAAATTTAATTACCAGAAAAACAATTTCTTACATAAAAAACTTCTTTGTTTAAATTCATTGTTTAATGTTACGTTTGGTTTATGTCATTATGGCAAAGCCTCAAGAGCAATCTGCCTAAGGGAAGGGATGCCTTCATGGATGACTTTTAAGGGAAACTGGCCGCCCATGCTGCCAGACCATTCGCGGAATTCAAACCTCGGACCGAACTACCAGTGTTCAGCGACTTTACCGCTCGCCCGCTGGGTTTTTACGGTATGGTAAGAATAGTATGGAATACTCTTTTTTGTACCCAACAAACGCCATACTACAACACCAAAGTGTGACTATATTGCATTGATTACGTAATTCGAAAAAGCCTTTTTAGGAACAAATGAAACTTCTAAAAATTTTGACCTCGAGCTTTCTATCTCTTTCATTGACAGGTTCATACAGTTATTTAACATCGAAATAATGAAGCAAGAAATATAATTTTAAGATCACTCAGCGAAAATTATATGACATTTTATTCCATAACACACCACAGTTTATGGTATTTTAAATATTTTGGCGTACCTACACGAAACTTCCAATGCATAAGGAAACAAGAAATACTTTCAAACATGGATTTACAATCGTTCATCAATGACCCTTCTTCACGGGGTCAGCCACACGGGGTCCGAGCAGGAAACTTGTCGTCACCCTTGAGTACACATCACTGCCAGAACAATACATCATAACTCATAAAAAGTACATAATTAAATATCACGCAGAAAAAAAGAACCTGACCCAGATGGAACCTGCTACCAGGGCTTCATTAAGAAATTCCCAGATAACAGCGTTCTTATTATCAGATAACACGTCGTCTGAATCATAACATTGTTCTGACAACTCATTCTTTTAAAAAGAAGATCACTGCTGACGATTATCCTCGAGTCATTTCTTGGAGCGTAAGGAAAGAAAAAAAGGCCCCTCAAGAAAACACCTGTAGGTCAGCTTGAAATACCCTTATATGCGGTCAGGTCGTAAATTTAGAACCCCTTTTTTCACAGGGGGGCTGAAAAGTAGGGAGTAATCTTGCTCGGGGTCTTGGGGGTCGTTTAAACATCTAACTTCTCCACATTCAGTTTTATACAGAGGAAAATACAAATTGAATTCTTCGAATGAATGCAGTTTTGTACAATGAAAATGTATTACTTAATGATAAACTGTAAGATAAATAACATCTTTTTTTAAAGCCATAGGTGTAGAAAGACAGATATTTGTTACACGAATGAATTTGTAGTAAATATTTGAGTTTTTTCATTCGAATGCTATGTTCCATGTATGCGAAGTAGCTGAGTATGTGAGATAATAGTCATAACCGAATGGCTTTCAACCTTTTCACGTCTAAAGGACTGTTTTCTCAATTACATTGTGGTCGCTGCTTTTTGGTTAATTTTCTAATGACATATAACCAATAATTGTTTTTATTTGAGACTTATGAATAAAATAACGCAAACTAGACTGCCGAAAATTCTTAAGAAGAAGTTAAATAATACTGAAAGATACATTATTGATGCACTTTTGTGTTTTATATGTAGTAGTATTAACTACTACTATAATCCTTAAATGAAATCCTTAAATTATATATATCTATGTATAGGTATATATAAATGGAACCATATATAGAACAAGGTATAAAATATCTTTTTTATACAATGTTCATTACCATACGTATATTTACGTAATATCAATATAAATGGTTAGTTAGGTTTCGTACATATATAATTTATTTTTATATTTTGTATTTTTTGTATTAGATTCAGTATTGTATACGTATCTGAAGTTTATTTGTTCTCTTTTTGGGTTACGACTTTAAGTGAGAAAGAATTGTTAGGGCCTTCATAGGAATTACATTATATACAATCAGTTAGGATCCTACTTTTCCTTTCTTTTAATCATTATATATATTGAAATATTACTTGATAAGTATACGTAAATATAGCAGTTTTTAAGCTACTTATTTATATATCTATTGTTTGGTCTGGTTTCTTTTCTTTGATTAGCAAAGCATTCGACTGTTATTTGCCTAAGGGTAAGGGTGCCTCGTGGAGAACTTTCGAAGCAAAACTGACTCTTATGCACGTTACACGTGGGGAAAACCTCGAAAACGCCAATACAGCCATCCCCGTCGATCCGGCCAAAAAGGTTCCGGATTCGACCCCGGATCGACCTGCCATGTTTTAACAGCTCAGCCGCTAGTGAGCTACACACACACACATCCACCATATATACATTAAATAGTATTTACATGTCGTTTATAAAGTATAATTGAGTGCACTTTAATCATAAAGAGAAAAATATTCTACGGAATTACTTCACTTCGTAGACTTTCTGCTAAGCTTCACCATATTTCTGAAAGAGAATCTCAATGCTAGTTCCATTTCCAAGCCGCTTATGTACCTTTATTTTTTATGCTTTTGAATTATATTTAGGGAATATTATTTCAACTTGGTTTATAACTGAAAATGCAGTTTTTTATATTGAAGAATTTAAGGGTAAGAAGATAGTTATGCCCTTTTTTAATTATTCTTGAAGCATTTAAATTTTTTTTTAAAAAAAGCGGCACATTAATACGGATCACTGAACTAAGGTGCGCGATACAGGGACAGATTAATCAGCTACTAAATTTTTGATTTTCATTGAGTAAAAAAAAAGAATTTATCTGCATTCTATAAGAAAGTAAATATTCAAAAATGTTTTTTTTTTTTCCTATTCTCGCAGTCATAATGTTTTTCTTAAATATTCAGCTAATTCATATTCAAATATTCCCTAATCCATTAGAATTAATAATAAATCGATACAGTAAATAAATAATTAAAATCAATTAAATGGAATTTTAATTGATTTTAATTGCCATTTTCCCTCTGATAAATCCCTCTTCAGAGTTTAATAGCATCGATCAGCTTTTGTTTGGGGTTCATTTTTCTTTATGGTATGCTACGTTATATACGTATGTATTATGCATTGCTCATACTCGTCAATTGCAGCTTTTAATATCTTTTGGAAAAAATCAATATGAGAATCCAGAAAATGATTCTTAGTGACGCTAAAACTATTATTACTAGGCACTATTATGCCACAGTGTTTTTAAAAAAAAATCCCATTGTTTAAAGGTAGATTCTATGCTCATATCCTAGTCTAAAATTAAAAGCTGCGAGTCAAAATTAAGGGGGTTGCTCTTAGAAAGCCTCAATTAAAAGTAGTTATATGAAATGTTAATCAATACTTATAATCTACGGATTAAACACTTACTTATTCCCTATTTGATCACGTGTATGGCAAACAGATATTCGTCATTCATAAAGAAAAGAAAGGTGAATCAAAATTTAGTTTTCAAGCCCTATCGCATACATTAGCAATACTTATTCTCGTAATAACAGATACGTATGTGTTATTCTCTCGTAATTTTCAGTACATATATTATATTTATAATTAAGAAATGAAAGCAGCGTCAAACAGCTGTGAAAAATTATATTTTAAAATTATTATTTAGAAATGCGCTTAATGGTTTTTATATTTACGAAAGATACTTCCCGTTTACTCAGGCTCACTGTATTCAAGTCGATAGGACCAATTGAATGGAAAGATCGATTAATTCATTCCCAAGTTTCAAATCGGATGAATGGACTCGCGAGTAAAATGGCACATTAAAATACGGTCACTGAACTACAGTGAGCTTTGAAAATTTTAACAAAAGCTTCGTACTTTATCTTATGAAAACAAAATATCAGAATTTAATTAAATGTTTCACTTATTAGAAAAATAAAATATAAATATTTGTGAATAAAAGAAATTATCTTTAAAAAATAAAATTTAAATGAAAAAAATAAAAGAATTACAAAATATTGCAGAAATTACATAAAATGGCGAATAAACTTATTCGGCACAAGCTCGCTAAATGTAAACAGATTGCACAGTCAGAAAGCTCGCCTTGTCACACAAATGTACTGTTCATCGGGTTTAAAGGTTATTCAGACTAATGTGCGAAGTTCAGTGAGTAACTTGTATTTTCCTTTGAATGTATAAACTAGCCAAAAAACACTTTTAAAAAAAAATATATCTCCCCTTATGATCCCTGACACAGCCGTTTACTTTCCCCTTCCGTAATTAACGTCAGTCTCCTGCTCTTGACCGCATTTGCCAAGCCACCGGTCAGCTTGGGGGTAGATGGAGTCTTTCGGAAAAGGGTCTGTGCCCTGAAGCTATAGATTACAGTTTCAGACTGGGGTACGGAAAAGGTTCTAGATTATCATATTGCGTGATGAAGCCGAAGTTTTAATTTGTGCATTGTTTTTTAAAAACATATTCTCTTAATACGATTTTTTCTAATAGTCTGAATCATTATGTTTAACCATTGGAACAATAACATTTTAAATCACTGAAAATGGCAAATTCACAGATGTTCGATTAAAACTGTTGTGTGAAATGAAATGACAGCAGCAAAATATATGATTTATATTCAGTGAATTAGTTCTGAAGTAAGTAAATAAAAATTGAACCGTTTTACTCATTGACAGTAGGCGAACCACGACGGATTTTTAGTTTTCGATTTTTGAGTAGTACCCAAGGTATTTTTAGCTGTCGAAAGAATAAAAACGCTATAGGATAATAATTTGTCGTGGTTTGGGATACCGCCAGCTAAATGGGTTACCTGTCTGAAGTTCTACAGATTTTTTCCATTTGCAGTTTCCTTCATGTTGGAAGGCATTCTCTTCTCTGCAGGTTTTCGATCTAATAAAACAGAGGTCAGGTCCCCAACCCTTTTGTTCCTAAGAGCACATTCTAGAATATCTGTTGGACAGTGGGGGTGCATTTCGCTTTGTGCCGGTAGCTGCGCTGGACGCAATTTCTATTTCATTAAAAATGAGAAAACTTTTATTTTCTTTGTGATCAGACAGCGGCGGGCACACGTTAAACGATTGGCGGGCGCTATGGTTCCCGCGGGCATAGGGTTGGAAACCCCTGTAATAAAACATTCAATAATTACCGCAACAGATATCTTGACATAATGTTAAGTCGCTTTTCTCTTCAATAAGGGAAAACAATGTTTTTGAGGCACTGAGTTAAAAAAAAACTTTGAAATCTGGCTGATAATCTTTTTCTGCAAATGGGAAAGCAAAATACTCGGTATTAAGAACATCATACGCACCGGCATTAAATGTATTTTATTATTCTCCTTTCTTTCACTAGCCTTATTCCAGAAGAGCAAATCCTGTCTAGAATATTTCAGAAGCTATAACAGTATGACTAAGTCAAAGAAGCCTAAGAAAATCTTCGCGTAAAAAAAAAAAAAAAAAAAAAAAAAAAAAAAAAAAAAAAAAAAAACCCTTAAAAAGCTTCTCTGTGGAGAAACACATGCACATTTTTTATTAATATTCCTATTTGGTATTTATCATTGTTGGCGTGTCAAATCTCGATCACCAAAGGACAAAAATGACTCCTAAGATATCAGACTGATAACCCAGGTCTTAGTTTTGAGGGCTTCCGTAATTACATCTGATTTAATTTTAAGGTTAAAGACCTAAAAATGCATAAATTCATTCAACTTACCTTAGATACTAGAGGCTTGGTAGCAATGGACGGGACCATATTGCGCAACCTCTGATATTCCCTCCTCCTCACCATTCTCTTTCTTCTAAGCTTTTCCTTACGTTGTTTAAGAAGCAGAACTTCGTGTCTTCTGCGGGATGAGGCGGAGATGTGAGAGATCCATTGGCGGGGAGACCTCTGGGGAAGAATCTGGTGGTTATTCTCGACGAGGACACCGTTCGGCCCACTGTCTGGCATTGGTAGTTGGTACGACAACTTCAACTCGCTCTGGTACTCGACGTCCGGCTTGTGCATGGTTCTGAAAATCAGAAGAATAAATAAATAAATAAAAGCGCTCTAAAATTAGATAATGTTAAAGCCAGTATTGAAAGCTTTGAAGAAGAAGCAACTGGGAATTTTGCATTGTCCATGCAATCTCATTATTCATACGAGGATCATTTCGTAAACAGCTATCAGAAATACTGTCGATCCCGTGAATGATGACATTTGCATCACATTTATCAACCATTTTTACTTCACTATGGGCTCAAAGAGCGTAATTTTAATAATATGCAGAATTTGTTTGCTTTGCTATCCGCTAAAGAACTCGTTGTTCTAGGTTTCAAAATGTCTTGGACTAATTATAAATTTACTTTTAAAAAACTGGAAAGAAACTTTAAGCTTACATTTTCATTTTTGGAATTTCAGCTGTTTTTAGTTTTGCTTCAGTTAATCGCCTACAATTTGCCAAGTGCTCAGACGATGATATAGGTTCTTCCATATTTAATCTGATTAGTAGTTAAAGCTTGTGGAATAGTGATACTAATTCCGTTCTGAGTTCGATAGCTTCGGCAGAAAAAACTGCCCGCTTAAGGCATTTCGTGATTTTCTATACATGCATAATCTGGGCATTTTAAAAAAGCTGCAGGAAAGCATCTCTTCGAAGGAACACTAGTGACTGTTTAATTGACCTAATATCCAGGTCACTCTTTATGGTCCTTTAGTTAAATGGGTACCAATTTTGTGTTCCATTACTTTCATGTAAGAATGATGATTTTTTTCCCCCTTGAGCAATACTGTATATTCTAATAATGTTATTCGCACTATTTCCATTTTGAAATGCATTTAAAAGTATTTACTAATATTTTCAAAAGGTATTTCAAACTGTTAAATGAACGGAATGTAATCTGGAGCTTGTAGTGCAAAATAAGCGCTTATGTCTTTTATGCTAATAATGTGCATTATAATGCGATATAATTGCTACTAACTATAAATTAATACTGATAATGTTTTAAAAAGTACTCAATTTTAATTTGCGATTCCTGATTTGATTCAGGCATGGTTAATTTTAAAAATCTACAAGGCAGTATCAAACTACGTTTTTAGATAAAAATATGCGAACCACAAACAGAAAAAAATTTACTAAAGAATCTTACTGTGATTCTAGAACTGAAAGCACTTAGTTCAAATATCGAGTGATTTTAAAGACACCTTAAATTAAGCATTGCTTTAATAACATATAAAAGTAAACAAAGACCTTGGGAAATTTCTGATGTAAAATTGTTTTATATAGAAATACCAGAAGATAGTTACTGTAGTATAATTTTGTTTGTTTACGCATGCAATTCAAAGTAGGAAAGACACAAAAATGGGTGACGGAAATCATTTTAAGTTGCGATCAAATTCTTGTTCTCCCTCCTAATACAATTTTCAACGTAATATTTCAAAACAATGGTCTTAAATGGAAGGTAATGTAATGTAACAAATTTCGATGAGTAACACAATTTTTGATGCAATCCGTTAACATTATAATACGTAACGCATATAAGAGCCAGTTTCCATTAGAAAGTCCTCCATGAAGGTGTCCCTCCCTTTAGGCAGATAGCCCTAGAGTGCTTTGCCGTAATCACATAAACCAAACCAAAACATTACAAATAAATCACACCATTTTTAAGTTTATTAACGAAACGAAAAACATTAAAAAGGGTATAAATTTATTACATATTTTTAAAATATAAAAATTTGCCTTGTTGTCTGGGAATTTAACCTTTTTAAAAAAAACTCCTCAGAGCATTCATTTTATTCGCAGACTGCTAACTAATATCGTTTTGCTTGCATTTAACTATCATTATCACTACTAAAAATAGCATGTTGGATTTCTTTATTACATTTTAGAATTTTTACCACGTACTGCATTAACTTCCGCAAGCACAAATAAAATTTCATACATATATTTCAGAAAATATTCCCATTACTTAATCGCAATGAAGAACAGGAGAACCATTAAAATTTAACTTCCTCATACCTGTAGCAGACACTTACAAAACAGCTGTCGTGACACGCTGGAAGCAAAATTATATTTTTCTTGAAATACTACCTTCAGTAAAGAACTCGTATTTACATTAATGTTGAAAGTATAAAAAGCAATTATGCAACATAAGCTGAATTTTTTTTTTTTTTTTTTTTTTGCTTCTTTTGTATTTGTCAAACATTAAGTAATGCTGCAGTTACGTCCACGAACTTTTGAAGCTTAGAAGTCATCTTTCGAAGAATCGATGAAGGTTTATGAATGGAAGAATGTATTAATGGAAGTTTTTGCAAAATGAAATCAGGAAATAAAAAGGAACTAGCGGTCTGCACCCAAAGTAAAATTTATAAGTTATGTATCCTTGAAAAGCAAATGTATAAAAACATTTCAGTGTGAATGAAATCAGTTCATTCTTTACAAACAACAACCAATTCGTACATAATTTTTTAATTGCCAGATCAGAAAAATAAAACTTTTGACCCTCCAAATTAATACATATGACGTGATGCTTTGAATTTAAAATAATAGAACAACATTTTCTCAATATCAATAAAAGAATTAACGTGGCATTAATATATCGTGTCAATTATACTAACCTGAAACAAAAAAGTTGCCAACAACAGCTATTTAATTAAAATATTAAAAAAAAAAAAAATCTTCGGCATACAATGATCACATGCAATCGCGGGATTTCTTCAGCGTCAGAATAAGATCTTATATAATAATAATAATATGTTTAAAATTTGGCAATGCTATTTTTATTTTATATTTTGTAAAACTTACAAAATTTTTTATTAACAAACTCTACGATTTGAAAGCGAGCAGTGGCAGCACTTTTCGAAATTAAGCAAAATTTTATCTTCAGCGAGGAAGACTGTTGCCACTCGAAAAAAATTGGTGCGAAAAGAGTTTTTAATTAATATCTCGGCTGCTTAAAGTCGCTGGAAGATGATAACGGTCGAAATGGCTTTTCACGAATTTTTGAAACCGGAAATAATATATTTAATGTTTGGCAATGCTTCTTTTATTTCATAATTTGTAAAACTTCGAAATGTTTTATTAAGAAACTCTACGATTTGAAAGCTGGCAGTAGCAACATTTTTCGAAATAAAGCAGATTTTTATCTCCAGCGTGCGAGTTTGTTGCCATTCGAAAAAATGAGGGCGAAAATTACCGTTTTCAGAGTTTTTAATTCATATCTCGGCTGATAAAAGTCGTACGAAGATGAGAATGGTCGAAATGGCTTCCCACGAATTTTTGAAATCCGGATATACCTCTTTCGAAACTCCCCGCTCGTAGGAGATAATACCACAAACAAACAGACAGATAGAAGCACACAGATTTTAATAGTTCAGATACTCAGCTATTGAATTAGAACTATCACAAGAAAATTGATTATTTCCCTTCCTGTCTCCGTTGATTGATTGTCCGAAGATTGTTGTAATACGAAGGATAAATGTTTTATACGAATTATATGCTTAGATAAATAAGAATATCGATTTCGCGAAATGCTTTGTTTGAAGTTGCGGATTAATACAAAACCGCACGCTGCTATATCATCCGGGCATTTCCGACCGCAGCAAAGAATTCTGGCCACCCGTCAATATCTTTGACGGCATGTCCATCAGGAAATAATTTCCTAAATGCTAAAGCCAGAAACTAACTATACGAAATTGTAAAAAAGAAAGTCTAGAGTCGCATTACAGATAATATATCATCTCTTTTAAAAGGTAAAATCTTACTAAAATTACACATCGTATTATATCAATCTGTAGAATCCTTGCTGAAATTATATTACACCAAAATATGTTCGTTGCTGCAAACAGCGAGACCGAAGATCACAAAAAGAGCAAAATTAAATGTAATGCCAGAGACTAGGGGACCGGCTTTATACGGCGAACCACCCGAACAGTAGATTTAATGAGCACTAATTAGAAATGGGAACAAAAAAAAAAAAAAAAAAAACTTTCAGTATGCCTGTTTGTTATTTGGAGTTAATTAAATTAATAAGCAGACTGTTTCTGTTGTTATTGCATTAAAACTTCCACTCAAAACACTATGAAAGTAAAACTTTAAAAAAGTAACTAACTTTGTTGTTGTAAACTTTTAGAAAAAGATTATGATTAAATATTATAGAATGCTGTATAGTTAATGCTTAATAGATATAATAAACTAGCAATGAAAAATAAGCAGTTTCATCTTTAGATGCGACAATAATTACTAAACATATAGATAATAATTATTATTAAACTGAAATTAGATGATTTCCTGTTTGAAAAAGAGGTAAGCAACTTTCTCTCCTAACCTTTCCATTTTACACCGCTCACGATAAAATGCAAATACAGATTCACAGCTTTTTAAATGAAATGTAATTCTTAGAACTTAACGAATTCACAATTCCTCTTCCATAATATTCAAGTTAACGATTCAGTGTTCAAACGGCCTTATGTTTATTACTTAATCCCACATAGAATACATTACGTAAGTGCGAATTAACATGCAATGTTAAAAAACTATAAAAAGCTAATAAACATGTTGAAAAATCTATAGATTTAGAATGCTTAATGAATTAAAAGGTAATTAATGAATGATTTTTATTAAGCAATCCAAGGGTATTTTCATAAAGCAATAGTGATTTTCAACCCAAAGAATTAACTAAGCCCTAGATTAAAAATTCATAAAATTGCGCAGAATTGTTTTTAATAGCTAACTGTAATAAAATATTCGATGCACTGCAAACGAATCTAACAGAGCTTTCTTTCCTCTTCAAAAACTAAATCTATTTCAAGTATCAAAATATATTTTGAAATACATCGATTATTTTACTAAATTACCGTCAATATAAAGATGAATTAATAGTTCAAAGTGGTGCGATTCTGTTTTATTGTAACATGAGGTATTACTGCATATAAAGGTGCACTGATTTCATATGTAATGTAATTAAATTAGAATATTCAGTCATTTAAATTTAACTGACTTTATCTAACAACCAGTTCAGAAAACTATTGCTATGAAAATTTTTCCCTTTTAAATTTACTTGGAGCAAAACCTTCATTTACATTGTGCGTGCATGTTCTGCATTTTCATGCACGCGCTAAGAGAAATATTATGCTAGACATTCTAATTCTAACAATAATAAAAAAATTGACATTAAACGCTATTACAAATTATCAAATACCAAATAATTAAAGTCTTTTATATTTATGTGCTACTGCTTAAAGAAATCTTACAAGAAATTACAGAAGAAATAACATTTTTACTAACATTAAAAACACATGGAACCATATTGCAATATGCATAGTATGTCTGCACAATACGTTTTTTGCAAAACTAGAGAAAATTCTTAATTGCTTTTGGCAATGAGAGAAGTAATCTACTCACAATTAAGAAAGCAAATACGATCAAAACACTTACCTAAAAATAGTTTCAGTGAATCAATAATCTTCACAAAAAATGTCAACACTCTCTTGACACCAGTTTCACAATCGGGACTGTGGTAGTTTTTCGTAAATAATGCAATTTATAAATTGAAAAATCCTCTGAATAATCACAAATAACTTAGGATCTGGGCAAATGACAAAATTATCATGACTCATTAATTTAAGCTCCGCATTTCAACCTCAGAGTTGCCGATATTCTGTCGAAATGAGCAGGATTCGAGAGCCCAGATGGTCACTGGATGTTTCTCAACCACTGAAATGATAATCGGATCCACAGTAGCATTGAGTAAACCGCTTTTGAGGCTGCCATTTTATCAGCGGCAGGTGTTGGCGAAACATTGGCGATGGGAATTTAGCGCCAAATTGCAAAGAGCTCACAGGTAAAGAATTTCTCCAGTGATTCTTGGCATCTGCTTTATAAATTTTTGTAGTATATCAGAGAACATTAATATTAAAACTAAAGGATAGGGAAAAAGTTTGATCGAATATCAAATTTAACGAAATGACATTTAATAAAAATAAAACTTAAGTGATTAAGAATAAATTCCGAACTCAGAGATAATTATATATAGATGCACTTATTCTGCTGTGTTTCTGTAACTTTTTAATATCCTATGAATCAGAAATTTTAATAAGTTTTCAAAAAGTTATTTCTTTAATGAGGTATCAAAAGAAAAATTAGAATACGTTGCATGACAAAAATTTCAAAATTATTATAATTACTTTTAACTAAATATGCTAACTAAACGTGCCGCTTATTTTGTTTAGTAATATTTTTTTACAAATATCTTATTTATTTAAGTAAAAGGATGTAAAATATTTAACGCAAAATATAAAATGAGCAATACTAAGTGGTCAATTTTTAAGTTACAAAATGGCGATAAATGTGCAAATGATATAGACCATGAAATGCATTATCCTATAGTTATTTTCCTTTCTAAACATTCATTATTTCAAAGCTTTCCGTTCAATTTCGAAATGTTTTAAGTCTTTCATAGCATATAGCATGGAATTTTTCAGAATTTTATTAATTTTTTATTAGTTTGGATTAGTTGCATTGCTAAAATCTTCGAACTATTTTCTTCAGTTTCCACTCCGCGGATTCATACAACCTGTTCAAAAGCTGTAAAAAAGCACCTTGCTTGCTTTAGTATCAGAGTATACCGATGGGCGATTCCAGTTTGATGTTCAGCTCCAAGAGTGCAACAAATCAAAAAAACAGCTCAGTGAAGAGGATATGGTAGATGTTCCTTTCAGATCGCGAAAGTGAATGCCTGCAAAAAAAAAACCTGTGCTCAATATCTTTTTTTTTTTTTTTTTTTTTTTTTTCCGGGGGGGTGAACATTTTAAGAATTTTTTTTCATGCATCTAGATCAACTACATATTACACACATTTTTATACTATCCATACACTAAACTTACTCTAACAAAGTAACTATCGAAGATTGCTCATATGGGGGGCGCCAATATTTAAAATTTATTTGTCCTTCCTTTTCTAAAGTACATCAAAATTTCCAAATACATCTTTTAAAAAATTTTAGTGCTACGTAAATGAAAAAATTTCTAAAATTGCTTGAATAATTATAAATTTTGAGCAAACAGGCAAAAACTTTTCTAACGGTATTTTATGTAAAAAATGGAAAAGATTCTATCGATATCATTGAAATATTTCGAGATAAGAATTTTAAATACAGCAAAAGTAAAAGCGAATTTGGGCATTTTCAATCAATGTTTCTTTTTGAACGAACATTTAAGCTTCAAATAGGATATTTCGCATTATTTTATATTTGGAATGTTGATTTCACATTCTTTTCACACATTAAAAAAAGAGGGAAAAAAATAGTTAATGCTACAATCATCTGGTTTTTAATGCAAACAGAAGTTTTACAGATTGCCGATTAAATACAGTTAAAACTTGTTGTATTATATGAACAAATTTTATTCAAAGAATCTAAAATGGTACTTTGCATCTTGCTATATTAGTCTAAAATGGATTAACATATAACAACAGAGTATATCAGAAGCAAAAATTTCATTGCGTGTTTGTCATTTTTTAAGATGAATTCACTATTAGAATTCTCATAGTTTCGAAACGAAATAATTTGTAACCAGTAATATTACGTGATTTTACAGGAAAAAAAAAAATTCTTTTTCACTTTTTAACAGTTTGGGTGTTAGTACAATAAAGATAAACACAGTTTTTAATGTAAAAGAATTTTGAATTTGCAGCCATTTTGCTTTAGGTCCAAATAGAATGAAAACTGTTCATTTCAAATAACTAACACTAAAATATTTTACCCTCCAAATCTCCATTCTGAGACAAAGTATAGTTGTTCTTGTCATCGGGAAACTAGATAAATCTTCATCTTTATTAAAAATCGATTGCTGTTAATCGTTAAAAATTAATGTTTGCAATTTTTGCATAGAAGATAAAGCAAATTTCATATCGTTTCTCAGTAATAAGCTTTCCCTGATACAAGCTGGCAAGGAAGAATAAGAAAGATTTGAAGGCGATGAAAATATACACAATTTTACAAAAAAAAAAGTATGTATACGAAAGCACTACCTATCAGAATATGTGAAATTAATGTTGATAATAAAAAACTAAAAAATGGTACACAGCTCACTTCTATCAGTCTGTAAACTTAAAAATACAATTTTAAAAAAATACAAGTTTAAAAAAATTTCATTAAAATCATCATAGATTAGGAAATTTTTAGCTAACAGTTACAATATAGAGATAATTAACAATTTGTTTTCATAATCGAATACGAAGCAAATGATATATATACCTTCTGTGTTAAGATAAATCATAAATTTAATATTGCTATCTTTTCATTATACCTTATTTGAAATTCATATGTATTCATATTTTAATTGAAATAAGTAAATTGAGTAATATTTATGTGATATTTCTAAAGCAAAAATGGTGAACATTTGTCACTTTTATAATTTCGTTAGAACAGACTATCGTCTTTCTCCCAAAAGTACAAAATAAAGTGAAAGTAAAGAATTTCAATCCTTTTTTCTTTCTTCCTGGTGCCCACTGTGAAAATATGCCTGGATAGTTGGTGTTTAAACTACAATAAGATAGTATGGTGTTCATATATGGTTAGATATCAGCGTGAAAAAACATTAGGGACGATGATTTAAAGAAGAGAGCCTTCTGCGAACCCAAATCGCAAAGACTCATCAGATTTCTTATCAGATGTTAAATTACATAATACCGTCAAAACTAGAATGATAATAATAACATAAAGAAAAGGTCTGAAGGCAATAACTAGCAATAATATAATTAGCAGAAATATTTATATGCTCATTTAAATTATACAAGTTCTTCCTTCCCCAGTCTTTAAGAACTATACACATCACATTTTTAGTCCAAAGGGATTTGAATCCCGAAGGACTATTAGTTTCGTTTTGGCATTTTGCGTCGGACGGATAAATGTCGGTTCACTTTTCAAACTGTTGCCATAAAATGTTAGAGTCGTGCATTATATTTGAAGAAATTAAATAATGAAAATCTGCGTAAATGTATGTATATTTCTCACATTGTCATAAAATAACGGTACATAGAGTCATCGAATTTTGAATAACGTAATCCTAACGAATATGGAGCATGTGGGGGAAGACCAAATTTGAAATTTGAAATATGTTTTATGATCGATTTCCTATTTTTTTAAAACTTTGACGAATTTTTGATTAACAAACTCAAGGATTTCAAAGCGAGCAATGGCAACGTTGTGCAGAAAAAACATTTTTATCTCCAGTGCGTGAGTCTCTGTATCGGAAATTCTAAAGATATGCTCGTTTTAAAACTATTTTGCGATATTGCTGTTGCACTGGATCTTGTGGTTTAAGTGCGAGGAACATGATATTTAATAAAGAAAGGTAAACACACAAAATGTTAAAAAAAACGCCCCTTTGGACGTACGTAATTTAAAAATCTAAAACATTTCAGAGATTTTTTTTTTTTTTTTTTTTTTTTTTTTTTTTTTTTTTCAGTTTTTCATGTTCTGAAATTATATGGAAAAAAAAATAATAAAAGGGAAAGGAATGCGCGAGTAAATACAGTATATTTTAAAAAGGTTTTTAAACTTTAAGCCTCCCTTCTAGTAACACTTTTGCTTTGAGAACTTATTTTTTTTATTCTATACAAATTCTAATAACTATCGTTAAGTTAAAAAAATGACTCACAAATGCGAAATTTTGCGTGACATTTCTTGAAAATGGTTCCAAACATTTTGATTTCTTTTTTATTATTTGGGAAACATGCATTTTCGATTTTGCACATCAAGCCGTGTTAGTCATATATCATACAAAATTTGTCCAGTATGTTTCTTGCACTTCGGGATCAAGTCTAAGATCCACAATATCTAGTATTTTAACGGAATGTATGGAATTTATTCCTAGAAAACTGCTTTTCATTGTTGCTCAAATAAAATAAATTTAAATCATAATTTAACGTTCATAACCGTGCTTTTATTTTACTTTTTCATCACGCATTAATAATATTTTAGTGCTGAATTTAAGTTCACTTAATTCAGCACTAATCTCTCCTTTCCTGCCAAAGACAAAAATGTAAAAGAACATATACTTCTGAATAATAATTTTTTGCGCTCTGTTTGTCACACCAATTAACTTCTGGGAGCTTAACAATATTTCTGCTTTAATTTCAAATACGTAACGGGAATATTTCTGTCACAGAAGGGTATTTGTGAAAGACATTATCTATGAGTATTCTTAAATTTATATCCTCATCAACGAAGCAAATTTTCCAATAGGTGAAAATGTGTGACTTTCTGTTGCATTCAGCCTAAGAGATATGTTTAAATACTAAGAAACATGTCTTAGAAAGTTTGTTCATTTATTTAATATATAAATTTCTCTAGGTATGATGGTTATGTGTAAGTAAGTTATTATGCATGTCAAATAATTCAAAATAGTGTTTAAAAAATGCGCTCGGTTTCAAAAATATAAGCGAAAATTCCATGAAATATAATTATTTTATTTATGTGATTTGTTACGCATGGTTTATGCTCATGTACACCCTTGTAATTTAGGCTGTCTTCATTCAGATTTAACTGAAACTAGCTTACAGAAAAGAATAGAAATCTGCTAGATGAAAATTTTGAATGATATTTTTAGCTTCCAAAGTAAAAAATTCAAAGCATGTGCTAGTTATCATATGAAGGACCGGAAATTCTTTATCATAGATAAACACTGACTAAGATTTACTTTCCCTCCCTACTCTATGGTTTCGGCATCTCCAATACTGCCATTAGATTTCTTTTATTAACTAATAACACCGCTTTGTTAGCGACGCTGTTAACAGAACTCGAGGTTCAATATCTATTTATAATGCAGCCGAGTGTTTTGGTTTGATAAAGTTTGCGGAATGTCAGCTCAGATCAAAAGGTGCAGAAGCTATGCTATTTACTAATAACTTTTAAGTACATATTATTCCTTACCTATTTTCAAAAACGAATTTACTGAGAAAGTAAAATAATGAAATGTCTATTTTTAAATTTTTATATAAAATAAATTATTTTTATATAAAATTTTTTATAAAATAAAAAATATCTGAAAAATATGAAATAAAAAATATTACCGCCAAAAAGGTCGTTTTTTTTTTTAAAAGTTTTGAGTGTTACGTTTATTTATCAAATATCGCATGTTCTTCGCCCTTAAACCATAAAATTCGATTCAACCGCAAAATCACAAAATAATTTTAAAATGAGCGTATCTTTAGAATTTCCGATACACAGTCTCGTGCGCTGAAGATAAAAATGTTTTTTTTTTTTTTTTTTTTTTTTTTTTTTTTTTTTTTCCTGCGTACAATGTTACCATTGCTCGCTTTGAAATCGTTAAGTTTGTTCATCAAAAATTCGTTGAAGTTTTACAAAATATGAAATAGATAATAAAACAAATTCCAAATTCCTAATTTGGGCTTCCAGATGCCCATATACAAATGGAGAATTGCGTTATTCAAAACTGGATGTCTCTAGGTATCTTTATTTCCTCACAGCGCGAGAAACATGCATACATTTATGCAGATTCTTCATTATTTGATTTCTTTAAATATAATACAGTGCTCTAATATTTGGTGGCAATAATTTGAAAAGTGAAAAGCCATTTGTAGTGAACCAACACAAAATATTAGTGTTATACATAGAGAAATCCCTTAGAAATCAAATGGAGAGAGCCGTTTTGTTGGAATTAGAAAACCAGATCAAACTATCAGTGGTCGGTGGTTTTATCACTTTGCTCCTGCTGGGCACAAGAAACAACACGGGAAAGGTTAAAATATCTGCTGAAAATGGAAATTAAAAATGTTTAAAGCGCCGAAAACCTTATTTAGAGATATTCATAGAAAATATGTTCTTTCCTGTTTAAAATATTGTTTTACATTTGATATCACAGTAATATGTTTGTGAATGAGCAGAGTAAATTTAGGGATCGGATACATATTTACTAATACTGTAGAGTCAAGTCTTTTTAATTTTTTTTAAACAGTAGACCTGAAAAATATGTGCAGTGCTCTCGCCGGTACTCGAACTCTAGACCTCTCGAATAAGCGCCGAGTATGCTTCCAGTTGCACCACGAAGGCATGCGGAAGAAGGGAGAAAATACCTTATATACTCCTCTTTTAAAAGTCGACTGTGGATTAGGAGACCCAAACGCCAAATCCTGGTGGTGACGAATTATCGTCCGCCACCCTTTTAATATGGGCACCATTTGTAGAGTCATTATTGTTTTTGAAGCCGAAGATGTAAAAAATCTGCACAGCCCTCGCCAGTTCTCGAACCCTGGATCTCTGGAATATGCGTCGAGTATTCTTCCAATTACATCACGAAGGCATGCGGAAAAGAGAGAGAAAATGCTTTATAATACAAAAAAGATTCCATCAGGATCGATTGTTATCTGTTGCTGTTTCCCGTGGCTCGGCAATTCCAACAAGGCAATTAAATTTGTCTTGCAGTCTGTATATTTATTTCAGAGAAGTAAGCTTTGTGCTTTAGTTCAGGCTCAAATACATGTAAGAAATTTTTTAACGATGGGTTTAATGCCCTATTGAGCAAGTGGATAGCCATAAAGATCTTCGGTATAATGTTTTTTCTTTACGTATCTTAGACACACACTCACATAAATACACAAGAGGGGGGGGAGTTTTTCTTTGCTTTAGAATATTTGTCTAAGAAAGTTGGTCAATTTTTCTTTTCTCTTTTTTGTCAAGATTTTTTTCAGACTAGTTTTACAAGGTAGGACTAAGTAGCTATTTCAGTCTTAAAAAAAAAAAAAAAAAAAAAAAAAGTGTTAATGTATTTTATTTCTAATACAGGGAAAAAATTAACGAAGAGTATTGCATCTGGACAGAAGGAGGCTCAATCTCAATGAACAGTTAAGGACACTTCAGTTACATCATGAGCTCCTCACAAATAGCAACTTCAGGCCTCATCTCAAATTTGAAGTGGTCCTCACTTCGGAAAAAAGACTCAGATCTTGCAGCCCTCGACTTAAATCATCTGGCCGATAAAGTCAATTGGAAAAAGGATTTAACGGAATGGCTAGAGACTTATCTACTTCCTCTGCTCGACCTTTGATTCTCGGCTTATCTCGCCTTCTATTTGTCTGACATCTCAAATCAAAAACATGCCGCGACCTGTATGTTGACTTTTCCCATGCTCTGCCAAATCGCCGAACTGCAAGGTGGCCGTTCCAGTGGGTGTTCGAGCTGTAACGGATTCGCGTTATCAACACAAGGAAAATCTTATGATTGCGATTAAACAGCGATGGAATTTCAAATAGTTGTTTGGAAAAGAAAACGTTTCGAAACTACCTTCTTTTTAAGAAATAAGCCAACATATATTTGTCTAGTATTCGCTTAAGTACTGTCTCATCTAGACCTTAAAAGTACAGGTGTTTACTGTTATTCTAAATCTGATTTGATTAATATTACGTCATGTTCATACGCACTTCGTGTATTGCGTGTATTATGTGTATTACGTAGTCGATCGTTTTTAGATTCGTTCAGTTGTACGTATATTATTTTCGTAGATTAACCGACCTTTAACTTGGCATTTGAGAAATTTTTCTTTGAAAGTCTACCAAGAAAACAAACCTTCTCTAACAGAGAGCTATTAAGTGTTCTATCATATGTACCTTAAATTATTTTTTTTTCCTTCCTTTACTTTGCGTATATAGCAGCCCAGACGATATAGGGGGAGCCTGACTGCGGTACCGAAGGGCCCGGGTTCGAATCCCGGAGAAGGCATGGAATGGCCCCCTATTCTGACTTTAGGAGCGGCCAGTGCTGTTATAGGCAAGTGCCCGTTATTGAAAAAAAAAAAAAAAAAAAAAAAAAAAAAAAAAAAAAACTTTGCGTATATATGTGCAGTGATTGTAAGTGGAATAACTGGAAATTCGTAGTCACTTAAAATTCTCAAATAAATTTATCAGTCATTGTATGTACTGAAGATAAATTATTAATTTAAAATATACTTTTTTAATATTTATCTTTATATTTTTACATAAAAATATCTGAAACTTTATAAGGAAAAATTTTTCAATGGACGTTTTAGTCACTCTAAATTTATATGGATTGCACTTAATTTATAGAACTAAAAGTTTAAATTTAAATAAAATTGTAACTTAAATAAAATAAAATTTATTATTACATTTTAAATAAAATTTAAAATGTAATAATAAATTTTATCAGAATTTAAAAAAAATATTTGATTAAAAAGTAGGCATTATAAACGCTTAAATTAGATTATAAAATTCTTCGTGTAGATTAAAGCATTTTTTGAACGATTTCCAGTAACATCATTTAATTAATTGGCGATTCAAAATATTTTCCTCATTTGCAGATATCAGATCCCAAGGATTCTGAAGAAACAATTCTGATCATTTGTCAGTACAAAAAATTAAAAACTCTTACTCAGACTCTTGCATACGCTTAATGTTCACTAAGTCGCTGGATTATTCCCATAAATATTTAATAAATCTGACAGCCTTTCCACATTCTACGCAATTAAAAGTCCGAAATTTACCTCATCTATTATTGCAGCAATTCAGAAAAATTTACAACTTAATGTTTCATTCAAAATAACTCTAGAATGGATAAAAGGTCATGTCGGAATATACGGCAATGAAATAGTGGACCAACTGGCTAAAGAGAGACTACTATAGGCCAAGATGCAGAAGTTATAGATATTCCATGGCCAACCTCTCGTCTAAAACGACATCTTATTCAACTGCCATATCAAAATGGCAAGACGATTGGAATAACGGTGAAACGGGTAAAAGAACACATCAACACTTTGCCAAGGTAAACCCACAGCGGCTAATTGCAAACACACAATTAGTGCGCTTTGTTTCAGGACACGGACCTTTCCCCGAATATTTCGAAAGGTTTGGTATTTCAAACACGAGTACCTGTACTTGTGGCGAGCTGGGAACGCCTGAACATTACATTACTAACTGCCCATTCACTAAAGATTTTCATATTAAAATGCCAACAACAAATATTCAAGCTTTTGGTAAATTCTTAGTAAAATAAAAATACACAGTGCAAAAAATCACAAAAATAGTGGACATCCTAACAAAATTGGGCATAGATTTATGTCAAGTAATATAATTTCATATAACAAGTTATAAAAAAGATGCAATAGTATAATAAATAAAGAAGTAAAATAATAAGTGCAATCTATTATAAAGCAAATAACATCAGTGCTCATAATTTGAAATAGTGATTAATTTCTAGCAAAAAATATCTATCATATATATTATATTTAAAACGTACATGCATTTAATACTATGTACATGCATTCAAATTACAATCAATAAATACTGACTTTTCGCGATTATGAAGGCATGACGCATTGGTAGTAAATTGTCATAAAGATATTTTAAACTTGAAAATCAAGTTACAAGAATAAATAATAAATACTTCCGAAATAAAACGTATTATTCTGGAAGTCATTTGCACAATATATAAGGTATAATATGAGGAATACAATAGAAACCTTGAAACTGAGAAACTCAGGAAAGAACTGCAGTAAAATGAAAGGAATTTTGCAAGAAAACTTAGACAACATTCTACTCGAAATGGTACAATTAACAAAAGAGAAACTTCACGATAACGAAATAATATATAGACTATTTAAAATAAAGAAAAATTACAAAAGAAAGAAATTCATTAGAGAAAATTCTCCAATCAAAATTTATGTAATAAGTTATGTTAATAATGTGAATACAATTATTGTATAAACTTTATTTGTAAATCAGCCACAATATATGGCAATGTAAACCTTTTAGAATTATTAGTAAATACTAGAGAACAGCGGACGTGGGCAGAACGAATTAACCGTAATGGTAGAGAAAGGGTGCCCATGTTCTCCATTACTACTGTTACTACTACTACTACTACTACTACAGCGTCTGAACTAAAGGGGGGTGAATGATGATTCTTCACCACCAGTATTTGGCGATTGGGTCCCATAATCTTCAGCCGTCCTTTAAAAGGGGGAGTATATAAGGTATCTCTCCTGCCATCTTAGCATGCCTTCGTGGTAAAATGGTCAGCCCACTTGATGCGTATTCGAGAGGTCTGAGGTTCGAGTCCTGGCGATTGCTCATTTTTCATGTCTCCTGCTTCGAAATAAACTAATATCTTTACAATACAAAAGCAAATATATAGTAATTTTTTGCAGATGTTGGTGGTTTTATACAGAACGTGTCATGAAACTATCACAACTGAAAAGAAAAAGAAAACAGACGAAAATGCCAGTGATTGCAATATCTGTAAGAAAGTTTATTGTCATTATCAGACTGAGGAAAAAAAAATGAGACATGGATATTATATAAATAAAAACAGCAAGAGGAATTAGAATGAAACTCTAGAACGACGCACTCTACTATTTCAAATGCCAAATCAATTTGTATTCGGGCTTGATCATCGAGTTAAAATTGTTGAGATAATATTTTAATGAGTCTAGACAGATGTGACTCGAGCCTATCAGACAATGAAATATTCTAGAGGTTTCAACAAAGCTGATAATTCAAGGCTAAAAACAGCATCGAATAGACTTGCTGAAATAGTAAGTTTTTTGAGACACTCTTTCTGTGTGGAATATGCATAGAAATTTAGACAGCGTTAAAGAATCCGTGAAATACACTCTGCAGTACGATATAAGAAAATAAACTATATTTGGTAATTTTTTACTTTTCTGCTGAGTGGCGATATGTAAGCCCTTTGTAGAGAAATGCTCTTAAGCTGATGTGAGGAATCACATCACAAAATAGGCCTTCTGTTGACAAGAAAAGGGCACAGCTCCTCAAAAGTGTTTAAATTATATAAATATTTTATATTGCTTAAAACATTTATTATGAAACAAAGCTAATATAAAAGCAAAGATAATAATTAGAGAAAATTAACAGTTATCCTATCTGAAAATTTTAAGAAAATGCTTCAAGATAAAAAACCAATTTCCATACCACGTTGAAAAGCAGATTAAAAATACAAGTACTATTAATTTTAAGATAAACATTTTTCACTATCTTGTGGCAACAAAAAACATTTAATTTTAAGATAAACATTTTTCACCATCTAGTGGCAACAAAAAACATTTAATTTTAAGATAAACATTTTTCATCATCTAGTGGCAACAAACACATTTAATTTTAAGATAAGCACTTTTCATCATCTAGTGGCAACAAAAAAAGTGACTGAACTGGAAAAGAAACTCAGTAAAATTACTAACGGTTCTATGATATGCAATTTTCCATCTCAAAGATAAATTTGCTAAATGACTAGTTAATGACACTTTTAGCTAATTCCATTCTTTTTCTGTATTTGCGTAGTTATAATTAACTCATACTTTGCCATCGGGGAGATTTGTTAATCTCACAACAATATTGTTACGAATTTGGTATTTAAAAAGCTAATGTTAGTTCAATTATAAATTAAATGGTTTTATTTCTCGCGCAGTGCAGCGCGCGTGACGAATATTAAAAGAAAGCTAAGCAGGAAAATTGAAAATACAAGATGCGCGTGCATTAAATAAATAATATCTCTCTTTTTGATTTCGAGAAAGTACTGGAAAATTCTAGCGCGTGATTTTAAAATCTTATAAAAGGAGGAAAAAACATCTCAGTTCGTAGTAGTTGCTTAGTTTAGTTTGTTGTTGTTTAGAAAACTGCTCTTGTTGATTGTAGCGAATTCGCGGATTAGCGTTCTTTAGCTGTTTTGAATTACGTTCTATTGGACATTTGAGTAGTTTAAAAGATAATAACTACTGTGAGATATTGTAATACTGCATGATAATTTGAGAAAATGTAAGCATTTTTGTTGTGATAATAATAAATTTTTGTTCATTTTTCATCGGACTTGTGCATTCATTTCATAACGAACTCGTACGCACGCAACAATTTTTGGTGTCAGAAGTGGGATTTGAATGCCAATAACAAGAGCGATGGAAGAGCAATTAAGGCAGTTGATCTCAGCCTTTACCTCGTTGAAAGAAGATATGAAATCTAATCAGGAAAGGATTGAAGCGGGACAAGAATCCGTTAAGGAAGAGATAAAGGCCATTCAAGCTGGTCAATTAACTTTTAAAGACGAAATAAAAGCCGTACAAGTAAAGATTGAAAAAGTCAATACGAAATGAAAAGAGAAATTGCCTGCATAATGGAAACCAAATTCGATGCTATGGAAGGCAGAATAGATGTGGTTGAAAATAAAGTTGGGCAAATTGAAGAAAAGGTTTCTTCCGTAAAAGGTCAAATTGAAGAAAGAGTTTCTTCGGTGAAAGAAGAAATAGAAGAAGAAATAGAAGAAAGAGTTCCTTCTGTAAAAGACCATATAGAAGAGCGAGTTTCTGCCGTCGAGCAACAAATTGATGATAGGGTTTCAGCCGTTGCGAAAGAAGTTGACACTTTAAAGAAGAGCATAGCGAACGAAAGAAGCAATTCTGAGGGTTTTAAATTCTTACCGATGCCTGCTCGTCCATCTCTGAAGATATCCACATATGATGGGAATACATCCTGGCAAGTGTATAAAACACAATTTTCTATCGTTTAGGATGCGAATGGATGGGATTCCCAAACTAAGGCCTGCCATCTCGCCGCTTCTCTGAGAGCAGACGCAGCGGATATCCTGCAGACGCTTCCAGAAAACCAAAGACTTGACTTCGAAGCTTTATCCGGCGCATTGGAACTGCGCTTTGGCGAGAAATGTTTAAAAGACTGCAGCAGGCTTCAATTAAAATCCCGTCAACAGAAGCCCACCGAATCACTCCAGGAACTCGCCACAGATGTTGAAAAGCTGTCCCACCTCGCCTTTACGGAGTGCCCGAGAGAAACGAGGGAAATCCTG